GTATGGCAATATATTGGGATATATCGTATCGTGACCCCGCGGTCATGATATGTATCGTATCGCCAAATTCTTGCCAATTCACAGCCCTAGTAGTTAATGAATTTTTTTGCCAACAGACACATGAACTCACAAAAAATAACACTAACATCCAACACTTAAAGCAAAAAGCCCCAGAAACTTTAAAAATAATACATGCAACTGTTAAAACTCTAAGATCTATAATAGTGTATGAAATTGTATTTAGTTTTCAAGTTAAAATTCTTTATTTTAATTCTAAATTTTGTTTTTTAAAGAGCACTGCTGCACCAACTTCAATACAGCAATACAATAAAATCATACGAACAATAAACACAAATATTTTCTGACCTTATTTGCTGAGACAGGAGTGGGTGAGGATCCAGGCTGAGGGGTCGGAGACTGAAGTAAATCGTCCTTTTCTTTTGGTTGCTGCAACAAAGGGGCCTACGTGAGTCAACGGAGCACAAGAACAAAAGGGAAGGTGGAGGGATGGAAATAGATGAGTGATGAAAATAACCGCTGATGAATCAAACTGGTTTAAATGGTCTGATGGACAGCAGGGAAGTACTGCAGGTACTCTAAATAAATGATCAAGTATTTTTCTTTAACAGACAGCTACCAGATGTCTTTGATCATCTGCAGAGCTAACCTTGGGTCTGGCTGGAGATGGTCTGGGTCTCTTCTTCACCTCGATCCAGGACTCTGAGTCCAGATCAGGGAGACTGGCGGAGAGGCCCTTTGGCATGGTCTTGAGGTTGGAGATATCTGGTTCAGTCTTGTTATGAGGCTGCAGCAGCGTGGAGGACATGGAGGAGCCTGAAGCAGACAGAGGATGTTGTGTGAATATGGGTCTCAGTGTTTTGATCGTTTCTTCTGGGACAGTTGATGGAGGAGGATCCTAAAAGCTTTAGTTTTTTACCTTTACGGTCCTCAGACATCTGTCTGGGAACAAACTCTGGGCAGTTGATGAGCTGGGAGAAGTCTGTGTTGGTGTGGTTGGGCATCATCAGACCAGGAAGAGGCCACTTCTCCGGGTCGTCCTTCCGACGGATCTTCATGTCGATCACCTCCACTTCTTTACTGTCCTTCAAAGCCTGAGGACAGACATACAGACGTGTGCTGGGTTAACGGGTGAGTCTGGGTGTGGGTATAAGTGGTTTGTTGTCCCTGTGATGGACTGGTGACCTATCCAAGGCACACCTCACCTCTATCTGTTGACCGCTGCAGGTAAACACCAGCTCATGATCCTGACAGGATTAAGCAGGTATAGAAAATAGATAAAAGTCATGTGCTTGCCTCTAGAATAAGGTTGACGTCTGTAGTGAGAGCCTGAACTCTGTGGAAACTGGCGATGAGTCCGACTGGCAGGAAACCCTCCTGATCCATCTTCCTCCTCAGGAAAAAGTCCCGCTCCAGGTTGTCCAGACTGAAGTAGTACTCTCTGCAGGAAGGCAGACACAAAGAGCCACAACATCAGCAACAAAAAATGCTTTTAAAATTCATTTTCTTCCAAACAAAACAGGAAGTAATGGATAGATTAGGTACTGATAAAATCTGGATCCTACAACAAAAGAGATTAAAGTCTAAAGAGTTCTTATTAAGCACATTTAAAAGTAATTGATTTATGTGCTCTAATGTATTTATTTTTCTTAAACCATGCATATAGGTCCTTCTCCAAAAATTACCATATTGTGATAAAGTTCATTATTTTCTGTAATGTACTGATAAACATTAAACTTACATATATTTTAGATTCATTGCACACCAACTGAAGTAGTTCAAGCCTTTTATTTTTGTAATATTGACAATTTTGGCAAAAAAAGTAAAGAAAAACCAAAAATCTCTATCTCAAAAAATTAGCATATCATAAAAAGGTTCTCTAAACGACTTATTAACCAAATCATCTGAATCAACAAATTAACTCTAAACACCTGAGAAAGATTCCTGAGGCTTTTAAAAACTCCCAGCCTGGATCATTACTCAAAACCACAATCATGGGTCAGACTGCTGACCTGACTGCTGTCCAGAAGG